ACTGTATTTACTGAAAAGCTATTTACAGCTAGAAAAGAAAATCTTCAACTATAGAAAACCATAGCCCTGATCAAAGGGGTACAAATGAATTAAGCTTCTTTTTAAAAAGAGAACTTTCCCATTCATACTGATTTTTAATGTATCGGTTTTTAAATCATTTCCATGAAAACAGTTTGTGTTTGCATTCAATCGGTTCCCCGCAGCACTGGCAACCCAAGCCCCACAACAAAAGGAAACTGCTAGGAAACCGACAACCGGGGCTGGGATGTGTGAAATTGCCTAGCAGCTTTTCCCCTATTGTCTCAGTTAAGAGAAATGAAACAAGTAAATTCCAATATTTTAAAGTAGTGGACAGTGAATTTGATTTAAAAAAAAAATCACTCCCTTTAATAATCAACGTCCTGATTCAAGAAAGCATTTCTAGCCAGGACAGCACATAAGCATGTGCTTAAAGTTAAGCATGTGCTTAAATTCTTTCCTGAATTTACATCCTAAAGTATTATTAGCAGCACAGGTGCAATTATTTTTTTTTTAACCTGACAGTGTCCCTTTAAAGAAATGAGCATTGGATCTTAGGCCTGGTCTACACTGGGGGGGAGGGAAGGGGAGGGGAGAATCAATCTAAGATACGCAACTTCAGCTACGAGAATAGCGTAGCGGAAGTTGACGTATCTTAGATCGAATTTAAATTACTTACTTCGCGTCCTCTCAGCACGCCGCGGCTCCCCCGTCGACTTTGCTTCCGCCTCTCGCCGAGCTGGAGTTCAGCAGTCGACGGGAGAGCGATCGGGGATCGATTTATCGCGTCTACACTACACTACATAAATCGATCCCCGATAGATCGATCCGTCGGGTAGTGTAGATGTACCCTAGACGCATGAGATATTTTGGCTAGAAATTCTCATGGTTAGTGCACCTCTCAAATGTATTTCCTTTCAGGAGGCGTCACTCATGTTAGGCCCCAACTTACTTCTGTTTCACACAATTTTGGTGTCCTCTCGCTTAAATTACTGAAAATGATTTGTATCAGAAATAAAGACCTATGAAGCTGAGCCTGCAGAAAGAGTTGGCTACACTAAAGGGAGGAATCCCCCAGACTTGTTAAACATCCCACATGGCAATTTTTTTATATTCTTCATTTTTGTCTTTGACACACATTACATCCTGCATTTGGGCTTTGGAAGATGCAGCGATATAGCGTCTAAAGAACGCTTCATTTCTAACCTCCGATTATGGAAAGGAAATCAATACACAGGTGATAAGGTAAATACTTCAACTCCTCAGCTGTCTGTGTGCCATTCACATGCTAGTCTTTGATCTAACGTACAGTAACTAATTCAGTTATGTACTTAAGTCTTCTGGAATACGTGCATTAAGATTAGACTCGCACAAGGATAAGATAATAGGTGCCCGATTCTCAGACGTGCTGAGCTCCCATCAGCTTCAATGTGGGAGGTTAGCAATTCTGGAAATGAAACCTCTTTGGGAGAGTACCCAACAGTTTCTGGAAGAAGCAGGTGCAATCAAGGAAAGCCTAATATCATTGCCTTAAAGTTGGTTTGAGTGAAACAAAATCTTTTCCAACATGTCTTCCCCTAAGAGAAGAAACTAATGCTTATTGGACCTAATGATTAAATTAAAAAAACAAGAAAAGTAAGCAGCATTACTGTAAAACTGCAGTGTTTTGAATCATTAAAACTCTAGAATATCATAGTTTTGTTATATGGTAATTGCTGAACATATACTGTAGTGTCTGTTAGCATTTACATGATAAAATCAACTATACTGGGTTTAAAACTCAAACACATGGGCTTGTTCAGACAGGAAAGTTATTTCAGAATAAGGTCAGGTATATACTTTGAACCTGAGGCTAGAGGGAGGTCCTCTGAGCTCTTTAAGTTTGATTACCCTGTAAAGTTATTTTCCATACTGATTTTACAGAGATGATTTTTACCTTTTTCTTTAATTAAAAGCCTTCTTTTTAAGAACCTGATTGATTTTTCCTTGTTTTTAGATCCAAGGAGGTTGGATCTGTATTCACCAGGAGTTGGTGGGAGGAAGGAGGAGGGATGGTTAATTTCTCCTTGTTTTAAGATCCAAGGGTTTGATCTTGATCCACCAGGAGTTGGTGGGAGGAAGGAGGAGGGATGGTTAATTTCTCCTTGTTTTAAGATCCAAGGGTTTGATCTTGATCCACCAGGA